CCGGCCCCCTGCGCCCCCGGGGGACCTGCTACGTCGCACCTGCCGCTTTGGGTCCTGCCAGGCGCGTTGGGCTTCTTACGGTGTCGCTTATTTACGGAAAAAATTCCCCCAACAATAGGAACGTGGTTCGGTCAACCCCGGTAGGCAGCCACTCAGAACCCTACCGTGTTTATTGCCCATAAACACATTTTTAATGGAATGACCAGGGGGACACAGTATCATCATTTAACATTATGTTGGTAAAGAACTTAGTATGGGAAGATGTCCCTGATATTTTAAGAGACGCCGGTCCAAGAAGAAATAAAACAAAACAAGAGATGCCGGTCCAGAATGGTCCTATTTTTATTTTTTTAAATGACTGTGTATAAAATGACCAGTTTGGAAGCATGTAGTCTAAGGAGTCTTCTTTATAACAGTGAGACCTCAAGCCATTTTTACACATTTTCTAACTTTTTCAAATTTAAAAATTTTGTAATAATATTTTATAGTAGTTTGTGGTAATAATAGTATTTTTAAACAAGAAGGAGAGAGAAAAATAAATTGGAAAAAAACCTAAAGTGAACCTGAGTGGGGGACAGAAGGAGCCTTTGAAGGGGGCCCCCCTGTGGCCACAGGATGCATTTCCTTTCCGCTTCCTTTTCGGGTGGCTCCTTCCTGCAGAGGAACCTGCACCACGTGCTCCAGACTTCTGCGGGGCTCGGGGCAGCAGCGAGGGCTCACCATGCCTTGTTTTCTCTCGTCCGCCTGGGCAGACCAGGGCAAAGGGGTCACCCTGGATGCGTTCGTTGTGTATAAAAGTGCAGCCTCTTCAGGAGTGATGCTGGGAGAGACACTTAATTCAAACTATTTTGGGAGGTCTGTCGTGTGTGTGTGTGTGTGTGTGTGTGTGTGTGTGTGTGTGTGTGTTCCTCACTGATATTGGCCTGGCTGTTTTCCTTTGCCCTCAGCTCCCAGGGATTGCCACTCATGGTGCTGACAGAGACAGGGAAGGCGACGTGCCAGAGGGATAAGAGATTAATCAGGAGACTACTCCAGCAGTCTAAGCTTGAGGTGAGAAAAGGTCTGACTAAATGTAGCCCAAGTGGGAACATAAGGGAACGGGCAGATCTGAGGGTGCTGTCAAGAATATGAAATGAGAAGTGGTAATCAGCTGCCTGTGTTGTTTACGTGAAAAATATTCCAGGATAATGCTAAAGTACTGAGTCTGAAGCGCCAGGAGTGTGCACTTGTGATAGAAATGAAGTTATCAGAAAGAAGAGCTAGTTTTCAGGGATATGATTTTTTAAAAATTCAACTTTTGCTTTAGGCCAGGGCCATTTTGGGATAGAAATGACCTGTCCTAGCAGATTCTCAGGTTAGCTCCATCAGAGTCTCTGGGGTGAGCTCGTGAAGGACATGGATTTCTGGATCCCATCCCAGATCGATTGAATCAAAATAGGGATGGGTCCTGAGTACTGTGGGGAAAACTTGCTTAAAAGAAGGTATTTTTTAACAAGCTTCTACTAGGGACTAGGGTGGGGGTGAGGCTCTGGTACACAGCCAGGTTTGGGAAAGAATGACTCTCCCAACCTTCCCCCTAAGGCAAGGATCCATTGCAAAGCACCCCTGGTAGACGGCCTTCCAGCCTCTGTTCACAAAAAGAACAAAGACAAACCCCACCCCTTTGGACTGATATTTAAGACCTCCATGGTCTTCCCACCATTTCCAATTTTTTGCCCAGTCTGTGTCATAAGCAGGCATGAGAATTTCCACTCCCATGCCTTTCCTCATAACCTTTCCCCTCCTCTTATAAACCTGGGGTTCCCCCCCCTCCCCGGCTGTCTTTCCCAGACCAGCTCATCCCGTAACTCCCACCGAGCCTTTCCACCCCAAACAAGCTTGCAGCCAACTCTGCCTTGGCCAACCTCATAACTTTCAATATTGGTACTATTCAGTTGGCATTTAGAGAAAAATGTTAACACATGAAATAGCGTCCTAACTCATCTCATCTATATATATAAAAGCCTAAGTGATCAACAGAACAACAAAACGACCAGAACGACTGGAACAACCAGTTGCTGTGATGTGCACTGACCACTAGGGGGCACACACTCAATGCAGGAGCTGCCCCAAGCTCACATGCCTCGATCACTGATGGGGCCTGTGGACCAACCTCCTGGTCCCTCCTTCTGGCCTGCAGGCCTTGATTGCCCGATAGGGGCCGGACCCCCAGGCTGGAATGGAGAACCGGGGGGGGTGGTGGTGGCAGATGAGGGCCGGCTCCCTCCTCAAGGCTGGCAGCCAACCTCTGGGGTTCCTCCCCCTGGTCCTCCCCTGGCCAGCAGGTCCCAGTTGCCCAATTGGGGCCAGGCCCAGGGCTGGGACAGGGAACCGGGGGTAGGTGGCGACAGACATGGGTGGCAAGAGAAGGAGGAGACGGGGAGGCAGGGAACCTGATTGGCCCTGATCACCGGCTAGGCCTAGGGACCCCACCCGTGCACGAATTTCATGCACCGGGTCTCTAGGAGATTATAAGTTTCTTGAGAACAGAGGTTATATCTTATTTCTCTTCTCTCCTTATGGTGCTGGATACAGGGTAGTCTTACAGAGCATAAAGTAATTACTTAGTACAAATCTTAATTAACTGTGATATGTGGTATGATCAACTGTGGTCCCAAGAATTCATCACTCCCCTTTGGTTTGTTACTACTGCCACCACCACCTCCTTCACCCTCCTAGAAAAATCTAAGGTGTGTGGTCATGGAGGGCTGCAGCTCACCCAGAGGAGCCTGGGGAACAAGCTGGTGAGCATGAACCCCATGTTCTACCCTGGGCCTGGGATCTCCAGGGCAGAAGTGAGGTCACCTTGCCAAGTACAGATGAGGAGTACAGATTCATAGGTGGGTCTTATTTCCAGCAAACTCCAAATGTGGGAAAATCCAGACATACGAAACAAGCATCAGAATTTGTGTTTAGATTTGTTTTTTTAAACTCAATAACAAAAGTTATTGAATTTGCCCATAGCTAAGTTTTCAGGAGCTTTTGAAAATAGTATCTTAGTTACAAAAATTATGTTTCTCATCATGTACATTCAGGAACATTTAATGTGCAGGACATGGCTCACCCAGCAATGACATTATTAATTACTAGAGGCCCGGTGCACGAATTCGTGCACAGGTGGGGTCTGGGAGGGAGCGCCAGGACGTGATCAGCCTTCCAGGTGGGTGGTGGGACACCCTCGCCAGCCCGGAATCTGGATCCATCCTTCGCACTGGTTGTCGGGAGCCACCTGGCAGCCGCTTTTATATTGTTTATTCCTTGTGGAGCATCTAGGGAAGGGAAGCAGTTGTGGTGCCCGAGGCCAACTTCCAGGAGGCTGGCAGCGCTGTCAGGATCGTGTCAGTGGCACTGGTCCATCAGTGTCTGGCCTGTTTTCTGGAGATTGGACCTGCAGGATTACTGAGGGAGTGAGTGTCTGTCATCAGGCCACAGGGACACATTAGTCAGATGAGCGACACTCCAGCAGTGTGTGTCATAGTGACCGGTCATTCGGTTGCTTAGGCTTTGATATATATAGATAATAGAAGCAAGGTTATTACTCAGACTCTGACTCATATTTACAAGCGATTTTGTTTTATAAGGCTGACTCTTGAGTCATCAACTTTTGATGAACTTGTGATGAATACAATAATGCCTATGGCTTTTGAGGGGAAGGAGGGAAGCCAGTCACATCAAAGGCTAGTCAGATGAAATTGCATATTTTATAGGGACACCAAGTTCCTTCTAGCTTGGTTAGGGACAAAACTCAGTAGAAATTGGTCAACAAGTTTATTCTGCCAACCTTCCAAATCCTTAGCCTGGTGATAGTCATGAAGAGTGTATAATCAAGGTGATCATATTTTCTAAATAAAAAAAAACAACCCAGGGTTTTTGAATAATGAAGGTTTTATGTGGCCTGTTTGGTGCTAAGAGATAATCTGGGAGATGTAATTTGGACGTCAAATAGAGAAAAATCTGGGACAATTTGTAGATTCATCTGAATAAAAGAGAATATCTGAAATTATAACTGCCCTAGGAAAACAAGCATGTAAAGTCATTTATTCAGTTGGCTGGAGTGTCGTCCGATGCACCAAGGTTGCAAATTCAAGAATCAACCGATGAATGCATAAATGGGTGGAACAACAAAATGATGTTTCTTTACTCTCTTTACCTTCTTCTCTCTCTAAAATCAATAACTTTTAAAAAATTAAAATGAAAAAATAAGATATCAACTACTAAA